TAATACTAGCCAGGTGCAGTGGCTCATACCTGTAATCCAAGCACTTTGGGAAGCCAAGGAGGGAGGATTGCTTGAGGCCAGGAGTTCAAGACCAACCTGGCCAACATAGCAAGACCTGATCTCTAAAAAAATAAATAGGCCAGGCAAGGTAGCTCACACCTGGAATCCCAGCACATTGGGAGGCCGAGGCGGGCAGATCACAAGGTCAAGAGTTCGAGGCCAGCCTGGCCAACATGGTGAAACCCCGTCTCTACTAGAAATACAAAAATTAGCCAGGCGTGGTGGCGCATGTCTACAATCCCAGCTACTCGGGAGGCTTAGGCAAGAGAATCGCTTGAACCCGGGAGGCGGAGGTTGCAGTGAGCCGAGATCGCGCCACTGCACTCCAGCCTGGGCAACAAGAGTGAAACTCTGTCTCAATCAATAAATCAATAAAATACGTTAAAAAAATTTATTTTTGGCCGGGCACGGTGCCTTACGCCTGTAATCCAAGCACTTTGGGAGACCGAGGCGGGTGGATCACAAGGTCAGGCGTTCAAGACCAGCCTGGCCAACATAGTGAAACCCCGTCTCTACTAAAAATAAAAATAATTAGCTGGGCGTGGTGGCTACTTGGGAGGCTGAGGCAGGAGAATCGCTTGAAGCTGGAAGGCGGAGGTTGCAGTAAGCTGAGATTGTGCCACTGCACTCCAGCCTGGGGAACAGTGTGAGACTCCGTGTCAAAAAGAAATTATTTTTAAAAAATGATAATGCTTACCTCATAGGGTTACAAGAATTCAGCTGGTGTGAGACGATGCATGGGAGTCTGAGTACAATGTCTGGCTCATGGTTAGGGCTCAAGAATGTTACTAAAGTGACTAGAAAATAGTTTGAACTCCAGGGTGTGGGCATGAGAGGGAAGCCTTGCCACCCAAGTAGGGACTGGGTATAAGGGCCAGGTGTGAACCCAGAGTATGGGCTGGAAGGCATAGATTGATGATGATGGGAATGTCACCAGGTAGAACAGAATAGTGGGAACTGTCCATGGGGCTGGCCACAAGTAAGGGGTTGGAGGAAACCCCATGAGTCAGCCAGGTCCAGAGCACTGGCTTCTGTGCCCACTGTCATCACAGAAACTCTCTGGGGTTCCATGCCCATTTGGAATGCCCCCTTCTTTTTTCCTCATGCCTCCCTTTCCGGTTTCCCATGTCCTGTTCTCTTGAACCCCCTGCCTGTTCCTGGTGACTGAACTCCCTTGCAATGCGTTCCCTGTTCTGCAGTCTCACAGCCCCCAGTGCCAGTGTTTGTCCCTGAAGTTGTTCCTCCATCTCAACCCTCTCCCTCCTTCCAGTCCTGCACTTCTTCCTCGACGGCCGCTGGGGTGCAAGCCGAGAGCGGCTGGCCATCAGCAAGGACCAGCGAGCAGTACGGAGTGTTCCAGGGCTGCCCCTGCTGCTGGCTGCTGACCGGCTGCTGACCGGCTGCCACCTGAGTGTGGATGTGGTCCTGGGCGACGTGGCTGTGACCCAGGGCCGCAGCTACTGGGCCTGCGCCGTAGACCCAGCCTCCTACTTGGTCAAGGTGGGCGTCGGGCTGGAGAGCAAGCTTCAAGAAAGTTTCCAGGGTGCCCCCGATGTGATCAGCCCCAGGTCAGACCCCTCTGGAAGGGATGGAGTATGGGGGTCCTGGTGGAAGTGAGGGGCACGGAAGGGGTGGCAAGCGGAGCACAGACTTGCTAGGGTGGGATGGGAGGGGATTAGGAGGAAGTAGTAGGAGCATGGAAGCCAGGCTGGGAGGCCTGTGGCCAGGAGAGGCATGGGCTCAGCAAAAGGGCTTTTGAGGACTGATTTTCAGAGCGTGGTGTGTGGTCAGGGAAAGGGATGATAGAAGAGGGAGCCATCTCTGCTTCCTTCCAACCATCTGCCACTCTGGACCAATACACCATCTCTCCAAGCATCTGTATCCTTTCTTCCTAACACTCCATTTCCAACATCCCTTCTCCATAAAACCTTTGCTCTCCAAGACCTCCTTCACCCATATCTTAAAATTCTTCCCTTAGCTGGGCACAGTGGCTCACGCCTATAAACCCAGCACTTTGGGAGGCCGAGGCAGGCAAATCACTGGAGGTCGAGAGTTCAAGACCAGCTTGACCAACATGGAGAAACCCTATCTCTACTAAAAATACAAAAAAATTAGCTGAGTGTGGTGGCACATGCCTGTAACCGCAGCTACTTGCGAGGCTGAGGCAGGAGAATCACTTGAACCCGGGAGGTGGAGGTTGCGGTGAGCCAAGATTGTGTCATTGCACACCATCCAGCCTGCGTGACAAGAGCAAAACTCCTTCCAAAAAAAAAAAAAAAAAATCTTCCCTTAAACATCTCACCTCCATAACCCTCCTCTCCCCAACTCCCTATTTAAAACTCTCCCACTAATGCTTTTCATCCTAAGCCTTCTCCCCGGCACTCTGTCCCCCAACACCTTATTTCTTCAAAATGCTTTCTCCCCAACACAAATCCCCTCCTAAACCCCATTGTCCCCAACCCCGCATCCCTCTAACACCATTCATTTGTGACACCAATCCACCCTCATCTCTCTCCCGACACCCACCTTCCCAACAACCTTTCTCTTCTTAGTCACTAATTTCGGATTCTTCCAACGTCCTCTCATCCTCAGAACCATCTCTCCAGCATGATTTCCCCAATACCATTTTTCTTGACGCCTTTCCACGTGCTATACCAATGCTATGTCTTTCCCATCCCCCTAGCACCTCTTGCCAATGTGCTTTCCTCTCAGTGCTCTCTTTCCACCAAACCCAAACCCCTGACCCTATACTCCAACCTGCCTCTTCAGCGTTTTCTTCTCAACACCCAAAATCCATCCCTTCTACCTCTTGCTCCTCAACATTCCATCCTTCCAGCGTCTCCCTCTGGTACCTCATCTGTCACTCCATCCCTCAACAATCTCATCCCCAACACCCGCTTCTGCAGGTACGACCCGGACAGCGGGCACGACAGCGGTGCCGAGGATGCCACAGTGGAGGCGTCGCCGCCCTTTGCTTTCCTAACCATTGGCATGGGGAAGATCCTGCTGGGGTCGGGGGCAAGCTCAAACGCAGGGCTGACGGGGAGGGACGGCCCCGCAGCGGGCTGCACAGTGCCCCTGCCGCCTCGCCTGGGCATCTGCCTGGACTACGAGCGGGGCCGGGTTTCCTTCCTGGATGCTGTGTCCTTCCGTGGGCTCTTGGAGTGCCCCCTGGACTGCTCAGGGCCTGTGTGCCCTGCCTTTTGCTTCATTGGGGGTGGCGCAGTACAGCTCCAGGAACCAGTGGGCACTAAGCCTGAGAGGAAAGTCACCATTGGGGGCTTCGCCAAGCTGGACTGAGCCTTCCAGGTCCCTCATGCAGACCTGGGGTCCTCCTGGGCCCTGGCCCCCAAACCTCTTGGCGCCGGGTTGTTACCCCCTGGAAGCTTCTCCCCCAAACTCTCCTACCATGTGGCCCTGCCCCTTCTCCCGTGTCTGTGTCTTCTCACGGTTTTCTCTTGACCCAGGGGCTCTCTTCTGCCCATCTCTCTGGATGGCCCCCGTTCTCTCCATTGCCTGTTAGCCAGGCCCCCACCCCCACTGAGTCTGCCCTATGACCTGCCTTTGGCATGTTACCCAAGCTATGGAGAGAGCCCCTTCTCCATCCCTGTCCTGTGCTCCCCAGGCTGATTGGGCCGGGCACCTGAAACACTGGGCATGATCTCCAGCTCTGCCCTTGCCCTGCCAAGCTCCCTGCCCTGTTGATGCTGAACTACAGCCTTGGGACAGGCAGGCTTTGGGGCTGGAAGCTGTCCAGGCACTCCTGGTGACGGGAAGGGGACCCTGTCATCCTGCTTTATTTATTTGGGTCCCGACCCCCTGCAGCCGCATGCCCCTTACGTCCCTCTTCTCCCTCTTGCATGCTTTTACCTGTCCCGCACCCACGCCAATGTGCCAAGTCTCCCTTGGGGACCCAGCTGAGTCTGGGTGTTCCCATTGGGTTCGGCCAGGCAAGGCCTCTGGTGCCCACTGCTGTCCTCCTGCAGTGGGCTCTGCTAGGCCTGTGCTGAGCAACAGCTGTTATTGTCATGGTTTATAAATAATAAACTGTGATGCCAGGCACATCTCTGCTTTCCCTGAGCACAATCATTCCTGTTAGTTTCTGTGCTGGGTGTGGTGGGCGGGAGGGGGCAGGGTGCTAGGCTGTGGTTCTGGGCAGGGGCAACCAATGGATCTGGTGCCTGAGGGAGGAAGGCCCCAGGCTAGGCGCTCTAAGCCTCCTGCCACACGTGTCCTGACCCCACCTGAGCCCACCACAGCTGCCAGGAGACATAGCTCTCTGGCTGCTGGCAGCAGGCCCCAACCAGGGCATCCGGGCCTGCCCTGCAGCACCAGGCCCTGGGGGAATGCGGTTGAGGGGACAGGCAATGTGCCTGGGCCCAAAGGGATCAGGGAACCAGAACCACTTCCCCATTCTCAGGGTGTTGTGGAGCCCACCCCAGGGGCAGCAGGCTGGTGGGGCAGCCGGGGTCAGGGAGGGGGCTGGGCCTGGTGCCAGCACCTGGATCTGACCCAGCCTCCGCTTATCTCAACCCTGTTGACTCTGGGCTGTTAATCACTGCCCAAGGATTTACTTCACACCCGGACAGCTAAGAATAGAGCCACCTGGGGGCACTGTGCCAGGGGGCAAGGAGGGCGTGGGCCAGGCGAAGAGAGGGGAGAGCCACTGGCACACAGAGCCCAGTCACGGAGCCCAGTCATGCCAGCCCTCCAAAACCCGCCTGGGTTTCGTTTCCTCCTTCCGCTTGTGCTGCCAGGGTTAGCCAGAGGTGGCTCCTCAGGCCACCCCTATACCCCAACGTCACCTCCTCCTCACATCTCCTGCTTCTCAAACAAACCTGCTCCTTACTGCCTCCTGGCCTCCCTGTCTCCTCCCCCAGGCCTCTCACACACATTCTGACCGCCCTGCTGCCCACGGGCCACAGATGAAAGATCAGAAGTTGGCGCAGCGGGAGGCCACGTTTTATTCAGTCCTGTTCAGGTCCCCTGCTATCTCCGGGCTCTCTGGGCCAGTCCTCCTGGGAGCCCCACTGCAACACTTCCCAGGCATAAGCCCTCAAGGGCCCCCATGAGCTTCCACAGACCGAGAAGGTTCTGAGAACTTGGTGGGGCCTCTGAGGAAGGCTGTGAGCAGCCCACCTGAACTCCCAGCTCACCAGCCCAAAACAGGGTGCAGGGGCTCTGGCCCTGAAGAACCTGAGTGGGGTGGACTGGCACTGGCTGGCCACTCAGCTCAGTAGGCGACGTGCCCCTACAAGTTGGCAGAAGTGGCTGCCACTGCTGGGTTTGTGTAAGAGAGGCTGCTGCCACCATTACCTGCAGAAACCTAGGTGGAAGGAAAAGAGATCCAGGGTGAGGAGCAGAAGGTACCTCCTAGAGCCCCTGGATGCCACCCCAGGCTGGGGTAATCAGTCCAGAGTCCTGGCCAGCTCTCAAAGGGCTTATTCAGAGAGAGCACCTGCCACCCCACCAGCCAGTAACTGTAAACAGGGCTGCCCTCCTCCCTCTGCTCTCCTTCACTTCCTCTTCTTGGCTCTAATCAGCCGCCTTGTCCCCCTATTCTCTGCTGTTCCAGCCAAAGAAGGTGTGTAGGTGTGTGTGTGTGTGTGTGTGCATATGTGTGTGTGTGTGTGTGTGTGTGTGTGTATCTGTGTCTTTGTAAAACCGAGAGAGGGAGGTCTCCAGGACGAGGAAAATAGGAGCAAGAAAAATAAACTCCTCTCTCCTCCCCAACCTGGAGTGGTTTTCCAGCCTCAGGTGGCTGCAGTAATTATTTACTAGGTCCCACAGAGAAAAGCCAGGAGAGGAAGGAGGGAGGGTTCCTTACTTCCTTGAAGCTCCCAAGAACCCAACTGGCACCCAGGCTCACCTGGTCTGCTGACACTTCTTCCTCTACCTGGGAAACCTCCCCCTACACCAGCCTTTCTCAGTCTACCCTCTATTCCTAGGAGATGATCAGGGGCACAGGGGTTCACCCCTGTGACTCCTCAGGAAGGGCTCCCCTGGGCATAGTGCTCTACCCATTTTGCCTCTGGGTGCAAACAAAACAAAACAAAACTGCTGTGGTGGCACCAGTTCAGCCAGGGCCAGCCAGCATGAATGTGGACAGCCAATGCTCTTTTAGGAATTCTGGTAGTGGGGCCACTCCCTCTTGAGGGCCCCTTTCTTTCATGGTCTCCTCCCAGGCCTGTCCCCCAGAACTCCTCTGACCTCTGCCCCCCAATCCTTGCCAGGTCCTCCTCTGCTCACTTCATGCCACTTCTCACCTCTTCCAAGCTCTTTGGGTTTTCCAAGTACCCCCTTCAGAACCCTTGCCCAGCCAAAGCCTCTGCCTCCCCCGGCCTGTGGGGCCCAATCTCACCTCCTCATAGGGGCTACGATTGGTACCACCAGCGGGCACATAGCGCCCATGGGTGTGGTAGGTGGGGTACTCGCTCATAGGATGGTAGGCATCCCGGGCGGGAAAGATGTCCAGCTGCCTGTAGTTCTTTTGGCGGCACTGACAGACAGCCTGGGGAAATAGGAGGTTATGGCAGACCATGGAGTGCTTTCTGTCGGCGGGGGGGTGGGCACTGATCAGGGCCAGGGACTGCACTCACCAAGGCAATGAAATAGACGATGGCCAGCACAACCAGAACACAGACCAGCACCAGGAGCGCAATGCCCCAGCCTGGCACCCCAGCCCCGGTTTGGGCAGAGAAAGGAAATGGCACATCACGCACTAAAAGGAAAAGCAGTGGTTAGGGCAGTCTCCCAGAGGAGGTGCCCCTCTAACTGCCAGCACTAAGGAAAAAGTGGGGAACTAGACACTGGTAGGAGAGGGGCCCCAGCATGGTGCTGGGCTGCAGCCGGGGAAGTAGCCTCACCGCTGATGTCTGAGATCGTCAGGTTATATCGAGAGGCTGCTTCCGTTTTACGTTGATTGAACTGTGTCTCCACATCGTGGACATTGGTGGTACCTTCTCGGAAGACCAGAGTCGATTGTACCACCACAGATCCTGGCCTGGTCACAGGGAAATGGGCACTTCAGCCACAGGTCCCAGCTCTGGCTCAGGACTCTCCCCCAACCTTGAGTGCACCAGTCCCTCCTTACGGTCATGACCAACACCCACCCTCCAACCACCACACTGAGTCCACACCCAGAACTATACCTGAACATAATATTGGAGAGGCCCAGAAAATCCCCTTGTTTATAAATCTGCAAAAACTGGGGTGAGAGGGAAAGGACTCAGGCTTGATGCAAAGGGTGTGGACAGTTCTGATGGCTGCTTCAGGGGAACATGGGAAAGGAAAGGCTGATACTCACCAATTCAGAAATGTCTCTCTGCAGCTGTTGGTAGTAGTTGGTGCTGGGATCTTCCAGAGAGGAATTAAACTGAAGGTTTGAAATGTGAAAAGACAAGAAAAAGAAAGAGACCCCAAGAGACAACTGGGGAGAAGTGCTGTGATTGGAGGAGGTGAAAGGAGGTACTGTGCTATGGTGAGTGCTACTGGCATCAGTCTTGGTGCTGTGGCTGGCAAGGGTGGTAGGAGTATCAGAGTGGTGGCTGGGAATTGAGAATGGAGTGCTCTTGCTGGCTGGGGTGGTGGTAGCCCTGGCAGAGGTGGTGCTGTGCACCAGAGTGGAAGCTGAGCCTGATGCAGAGTCTGAGGCCGAGGTGACATCGTGGGCTGGGGGTGCGGTGGAGCCCGGGGGTGCGGTGGAGCCCGGGGCTGCACTAGTGCCCGGGGCCGAGGTGACAACGCGGGCTGGGGGGCCGGTGGAGCCCGGGGCTGCACTGGTGTCCGGGGCCGAGGTGACAACGCGGGCTGGGGGGCCGGTGGAGCCCGGGGCTGCACTGGTGTCCGGGGCCGAGGTGACAACGCGGGCTGGGGGCCGGTGGAGCCCGGGGCTGCACTGGTGTCCGGGGCCGAGGTGACAACGCGGGCTGGGGGGCCGGTGGAGCCCGGGGCTGCACTGGTGTCCGGGGCCGAGGTGACAACGCGGGCTGGGGGGCCGGTGGAGCCCGGGGCTGCACTGGTGTCCGGGGCCGAGGTGACAACGCGGGCTGGGGGCCGGTGGAGCCCGGGGCTGCACTGGTGTCCGGGGCCGAGGTGACAACGCGGGCTGGGGGGCCGGTGGAGCCCGGGGCTGCACTGGTGTCCGGGGCCGAGGTGACAACGCGGGCTGGGGGGCCGGTGGAGCCCGGGGCTGCACTGGTGTCCGGGGCCGAGGTGACTACGCGGGCTGGGGGGCCGGTGGAGCCCGGGGCTGCACTGGTGTCCGGGGCCGAGGTGACTACGCGGGCTGGGGGGCCGGTGGAGCCCGGGGCTGCACTGGTGTCCGGGGCCGAGGTGACTACGTGGGCTGGGGGGCCGGTGGAGCCCGGGGCTGCACTGGTGTCCGGGGCCGAGGTGACATTGTGTCCCAAGGTGGTAGCCGAACCTGTGGCTGGTTCCGTGGCCAGGGCTAGGGTGACGTCCTGTCCCTGAGTGGTGGAGGAGCCTGAAACGGGGCTGTGGCTGGAGAGTCTGCTGGTCATACTCACAGCATTCTTAGTAGAGATGGGCATTGAACTTCTTTGGGTAGCCGAAGTCTCCTTTTCTCCGCCTGGGGTAGAGTTTGTATGACCAGAACCTGTAACAACTGTTGTGGGTTCAGGGGCTGTGGCAGCTGTGATAAGTTAAACTAATAGGGTTGGGTTGAAGGAAAAATAAGAGCAAGAAGAAAATACAAGCTCTGGCCACCAGAGAAATAATACCAGGAGGACTGGGGAGTGGGCAGCCTCAGCAGCCCCTGGGTTGGCTGCCTCCTTCCCTGCAGCAGCCTCCTTCTGTCTGCCCACAGGCCTCAGCTCCTGGCCCCTGCATTTCTCCCCTCTTAAGCCTTCCCTCTCCCTACTCCCTTCCCCCTAGACTTCTCTTCAGGACATTTGCTTGCCCCTGGCACCCACTCTTTGGGGGGGGCATCTCTTCTCAGCCTGTCCTTAGCCTCTCCCTCCTTCTGGCACAGACAGAATTCTTGCCTTTCATGGTGCATCTGCCAGGGAGCAAAACCTGGCACAGAAAGACCACGAAGACCACCTAAGCAGGGCAGCCCACTCCCCACCTTGTGCCCCTCACCTGTAAGCACTGTGAGGATCAGGAGCAGGAAGAAAGGAGACTGGGTGCCTGGTGTCATGGTGGTGGTGGACTGGGTGGGGAGAGGGCAGAACAGACTCAGGCAGGCGCTGCTTGAGAGGTGGAGCGGGCACAGGCGCCTGCTGCTTTATACCAGTCCCCCTGGCCCCCCTCCCCCCTGCCCGCCCGCCCTAGGCACAGCTGGAGCAGGTGACAGGTGACAAAACCCCGCCCCCTCCCCCTTCCCTACCTTCTACCTGTTCCTCCTCCTCCCCTACCATTCCTGGGTAGGCTACAAGGGCTCTAATCGCTCAACCCCCTGACTACCCATTTGTTCTCCAGCTGGCCTCCCCCTTTCACCAACCACTCCCTGGCTCCAGGGTGGAGTGGGGAGGGGCAGTCTGGAACCTGGGGCCCCTGGGCTCTAGTTTTAGCCCTAGGGCAACAACTAAGGTGGGAATGGGGAACAAAGACGGCTAGGTTGAGGTTCTGTACAGCAAGGCCAGGAAGCCCACCCCTAGGTCTCCCACTCCACTTCCCTGCCCTCCTTGGGTCCATTGAAGCAGAGCGGGGCCAAGAAATAAGAGGGCTGGATAATGAGTGGACTAGGTGCTAGTTTTGGGCTCCCTCCCCCCACCACTTCCCGGAATAGCCCCACCCTTCTAACCGCTCCCTGTCCCGTTCCAAACGCAGTTCTACCCTGAAACCCACAGTCCCCGCCCCAGCCGGACTTTCCAGCAGCCTGGGTTCCCTCCTTGGCATTCTCCTGAGAAGGGAGTGCGGGAAGAAATTTCCACTTAAGGGAGGAAACCTGGGCTCCGATGAACCCTAGGGTCCTTTCTTGCCACTGTCCACCACTGGCCAGGAGCTCCTCCCGCCCTCTAGTGGTCACCAGGAGCCTTGCGGGGCTGGACCGCGCCGGCTGAGGAGCTTTTCTGACCTGGCGGAGAGGAGTAAGGGCAGCGCTGCCTAAGTGGGGCAGCGAGAGCCCGCGAGAGGGAGGTAGGGCCCGGGAGAGAAGGGTCACTACCGTGGCCAGGGAGGGAGGAACGCACAGCATGGTGGACTTCTGGGAGCTTTAGGAGGGGGCACTCCTGGACGCGTGGTGGTGGCGTCTGGAGGAAATGGAGCTAAGCGGGTGGGGTCCTGAGGTATGTGGAAAGGGCACTGAGATATGTGGGAGAGGACATTGGAACGTGGGCAGGGGAGTTGGACACGTTCTGTGTGGGCCGTTATGTACTTAAGAGGCAGATCGGGCCGGGCGCGGTGGCTCACGCCCGTAATCCCAGCACTTTGAAAGGGCGAGGCGGGTGGATCACGAGGTCAGGAGTTCTAAGACCAGCCTGGCCAAGTTTTTAGTAGAAACCCCGTCTCTACTAAAAATTACAAAAATTAGCTGAGCGTGGTGGCGGGCGCTGTAATCCCAGCTACTCAGGAGGCTGAGGCAGGAGAATCGCCTGAACTCAGGAGGCAGAGGTTGCTCTGAGCCGAGATCGCACCACTGCACTCCAGCCTGGGCGACAGAGCAAGACTCCGTCTCAAAAAGGGGGGGGGGCGCAGAGAGTAGTTGGGGTGACAGAATGGGATTTAGGGACAGAACTATCCTTTGGGGAGCAGAGTGGTATTGGGGACAGGTAGGTACGTAGTGGAAGGCAAAAGCACACGTAAGGTGCGTAATGCGCAAGAGCCGAGAGGTGTGTGCGGCAGCAGTGCACCAGGGGAGGAAGCTATCCCGGGCCGCGGCAGCACGTGGAACTTGGGTCCCGCAGTCGCAGGCTGCGCTCTAGGCCAACGGAAGCAGTTCCGCCTGTATTCGGAAAACAGTTCTCAGCCCCAAAGACACAGGTTGGAAAGCACTTTAAAAACACTTCGGCGAGGCACGGGATTGGAGAGCATCGGATCAGCAGACGAGAGACCACCGTTCCCGCCCGCGCGCCGCTCGGTACCCGAGGCGCAGCTTTGTGAGCTGCGAGACCCCGGGGCGGGCGCTGGGCGGGGTGGGGGCGTCTGACGTCAGTGCGCCCGGGAACGCGGGCCGGGGAGGCGGGGAGCCCCCCACTCGCAGGCTGGAGAAAACCAGAGTAGCTAGGTGGGCGGCCCCAAACCTCAACTCCCGGCATTACCAGGCAACAGCCATTCAGTTCGGTTGCTGGGACACGCGTCACCATGGCGACGGCTCCGCGCCGGGCAGTCTGAGTACTTAAAGAGCAAGCGCGCGCAACGCCCGGGCGTCGGAAAGCGGCCTTCCGGGACTCCGCAAACTCCCGTTCTTCTTTCCCCCTCCCCCTTACCATTCCCTTCGCCTTGTGGGCGCCAAGTCTCTCTGGCCTCCAAGGTGAACCCAACTCCCAACTCCCCAGCGCGCCCCGGGTTCCCGGGTCGGGCCGGCTTCAGGCGGTGGGGAGCGGGATCCCGGGCCCCGGGCGGGCGGGAGGGACGGGACGCGGTGCAGTGTTGTTCTTTCCCCCGCCAATATTGCACTCGTCCCGGCCTCCGGCCCCCCCGGCCCCCCGGCCTCCCCCCTACCCTTAGCGGGGCAGCCCCCGCCCTCCTGGCTCTCCATCCCGGCGGATCTTTGATAGACTGGAGTGTCGCCGCTGCCACCGTGAGTAAGTGGGGCTGGGAGGACTTCGGGCATCCTCCGACAGGCACCCTATCCTTCACTTAACTCCATCCAGCACCTCCCCAACCCGCACCCCCAAATCAGCCAAACTTCCCCTAGATCCCTAACTTCCCCCCTCCCAGGCTTTCTCTTCTACTCCCCGATTCCTTCCACTTCCCCACCCTATCTCGGAAAATTCCTAAAATAAGCAGTTGCACTGGCTTAGAAAACAACCAGAACTTTATGGCAATGTGCTGTCATCTTTCCTGGGGTTAGTGCCTGAGTAATACCCCTTGAAAACTCATCCCCTGAAGAGTGGGGCGACCACCCCTCTGGAAATGAACTTTTGGGTGCCAGAGAAGGGTCTGTGGTTGGCTGAGGGGCTGTAGCTTAGACCTCAGGGTCTCCAGGGTGGATCCCAAGGCCAAAGGGTCTAAAATTCTGAATTCTGAATCCGGTGGCCTCCTCCTCACACCCTTCCCTGGAGCAGCTGCCTCCGGAATGGCTCAAAGTCCTCAGGCACTGTGTCTGAAGGGGAAATAAGTAAAGTCAGAGGATGTGGCTCTCCCATAAGGCATGAAGGATCAGGTTGATCTCAATCAGTCACCTCACCATTGCATCGATACTGGAGATTGGACCAAATGATGTTTTCTTGGGAAAAGCAGAATACACCAAGACGCCCCCCTCGCATGGATGTGTCAATAATCACCCCAGAATCCGCCACAAGCTGGGGTCCCTCATAGAGCTTCACCCTGTCCAGGATTCCAGGATAGGAGTGTCCATTGGTGCTAGGGTGCCAGTGGGCACTCTGCCACCATGCCTGGGTCCTTGCTTTTCCCCAGCCCCCCTTGAGCTCACCAGGCCTGAGAGAGAAGGGAGGGAGGGAAAGGGAGGCAGGAAGGAGAGGGAAGGGGGGTGCTTTTCTCAGGCCTGGGGCCCCAGCTCTTTGTCCAGCTCCTTTTGCATCTCAAAGCACCAGCCGCATTCCAAGCGAGGATTGGGTTGCCATGACGATAAGCACAATGGGCTGGGGGGTGAAGTCACCCGCTTCCCAGGCTCTAGTCCACCCCCTTTTATCCCCTGTCCTGGCACCCCACAGCCCCAGGCACCTTAAAGGGGAACCAACCCAGGTTCCTGGATTCTGGGCTCTTGGCCATGGAAAGTCCAGCCTCTAAGCAGACCCATTTCCCCTCCCTTCCTGTTCATCCCCACCAACTAGGGCTACTTGTTGGAGAGGAATGCAAAGTTGTGAACAAAGTGCTGAACCGAGGCCTGTGAAGTCAGGGCCTTGGTTTTCTCTTCTGTAAATGATGATCCCTTCCAGGTCAGATGATCCTTATCCAGGTTGATAAGACAGATTCCAGGCCATACCAACTAAGGGACCAGATGTGATGTGCCCCTCCACAGATTGGCCTGGGTTTGGAGGCTTCTGGAGAATTGTAAAGGGCATCTAACCCAATGCCCTCATTTTACAGAGGGGAAAATAGGTCATGGAGGAGGAGTGACTTCACCAACATCACTCATAGGTGCTTGTGTCCATGGTGAGAAAGGGAAATGGAGAGAAGTGGCTGCAGTCCCCACCCATGGAGAGGTCACTGGTGAGTCCCAGCTAAAGAGGAAGGACAGGCCCGGCCTGAGTCCCACAGGTGGGCTCAGCCCCTCTCCTTACCGAATGTAGCCAACTTGAGGCCGGTGCAGAAGCTGCCAGCGATAGGAGGTCTTGTCCTGCCAGCCCACATTTCGTGGGTCCGTCCACAGTAGTCGCACCTGATCAGGGGTGTGGCCAGTATGCCACAGGGCATTTCGGAGGTGCTCACCTGGGCCAGACACTGATGTCACTGCCTGGGAGACATTGGCAAAGACAGTGGGTCAACTGCAGAACTGGAGTGAGGGGAGACAACAGGTTGGTAAGTGCAGGTGGGAAAGGGAGTCAAGGCGGTCATGAAAATGCCCCACAGAGCTGGCTCCAAGCCAGATGTCTGGGTAAGAGGGTTCCCAGTCAAGCAGTGGGGGAGGCCCTGGGGCTGCAGAGGAGAGCTTTGGGAAAGGGCCCTGGGTTGGGGAATCTGAGCAGCTGGGGACCTTGAGCTGCAGCCCGGGCTGGGCAACCGCCCGAAAGGGTGTAGCCTGCCAGTAGGTCTGCTCAGTCTGCTTCCACATGACTACGTAGAATCGGCCACTGTCTTGATAACTGAAGAGAAAGCCTGCGTAGTCATCGTCAGTCACTGTGTTCACATGGAAGGTGCCTTCAAAGTCCACACCATTGAAGGCCGTGTATCCTGGGGTGGGGGTGGGATAAAGGTCAGGGGCAGCAAAGCTACTGGTGGCCCATCATGGGGTGAAGTTGGGAAAGGATGCCTGCTATGTGTGTGGCCAGCTTGTGCCACTGCCTTCTCTCTCACCACTTTGCCCATTCTCCCTGTCTGTTTCCTCCCCTACCCTCTGCCCCTATAGGATTCCTCCATTTGGAAGTGATTGAACTATATATCCCTTACATACCAACTGCCAAGCCAGGGTCACTGTTCATGGTCTGAACGATTTCCATGCCCTGGGGTTGTATAGTAAAGAAAAAGCTGTGATGCAGGTGTGCTATCCCTCCCAGGCCCCCCGCCCCAGTAGCCCTGATAGCACCTGCCCAGCCCACTGCCCCGAGTACCTGGTTGAGCACAACCCAGTTTGGGTCAATCTGAGCATCACCCTCAGGATCCAGGACGACGGTCTGATAGGCCCGAAAATCCGTAAGCGTTACCTCTGCACTTTCGGGACACACATCCAGGGGGTCGACCACAGCATCATTGTCAAAGTCATCCTCACACACATCACCAACGCCATTGCCTGGGCAGAGTGAGGCTGGGTGCTCAGGAAGGCCCTGGCCACTGCCATTAGGCAACAATACCACCTGTTGGGCCTTGCATTCCTGACTTCTTTCCCCACCTTGCCGTTCCTCACTTCCCAACGGGGCTTGCTGCCTCCAGCTGGGCAAAGGCAACATGCTCTGGGTCCCCAGGCTTACCATCTGAGTCCTTCTGATTGGGATTGGGTACCAGGCGGCAGTTATCAGGACCAGGAGGCACGTAATCTGGGATGCCATCATTGTCATCATCCCCATCACACTCATCTCCAAGTCCATCGTTGTCTGAGTCCAGCTGGGAGCTATTTGGCAGCTGTGGGCAGTTGTCCTTGGTGTCCTGATGCCCATCCCCATCACTAATCAGAAGAACAGGTACCAAATAAAGGCTTTAAAGGAACTCCTTGTCCTTCCCCTTGCTTCTGCCTGGGAGCCTCTGGAGTCTACTCTCCATACAATCAGACCTCTGGCAGTCAGTTTTCTGAGGTGAAGGTCCAGCAGTAGGAATGGAGGGATGACTATAAGAATGACTTCCTGCTCAATAGCGATAGAGAATTATGGCTAAATCATAGAAGGAATTTAGAATATACTATGGCCCGGGCACAGTGGCTCACGCCTGTATTCCCAGGACTTTGGGAAGCCAAGGTGGGCAGATCACCTGACTTCAGGAGTTCGAGACCAGCCTGGCCAACACAACGAAACCCTGTCTCTACTGAAAAAAAAAATTAGCCGAGCTTGGTAGCACGCGCTTGTAATCCCAGCTACTCAGGAGGCTGAGGCAGGGAAATCGCTTGAACCCTGGAGGCAGAGGTTGCAGTAAGCCGATACCACATCACTGCACTCCAGCTTGGGTGGCAGAGTGAGACTCCATCTCAAAAAAAATAGGAGGCCGGGTGCGGTGGCTCACACCTGTAATCCCAGCACTTTGGAAGGCTGAGGCGGGCGGATCACGAGGTCACGAGATCGAGACCATTCTGGTTAACACAGTGAAACCCCGTCTCTACTAAAAACACAAAAAATTAGCCATGTGTGGTGGTGGCCAATTGTAGTCCCAGCTACTCGGGAGGCTGAGGCAGGAGAATGGCGTGAACCCAGGAGGCGGAGCTTGCAGTGAGCTGAGATCGTGCCACTGCACTCCAGTCTGGGCAGCAGAGCGAGACTCCGTCTCAAAAAAAAAAAAAAAAAAAAAAAAAGATATACTACAGGAAAGTAAAATATCCCCTATAAGAACTTGCATTTTGCCAGGCACAGTGTGGCTCACACCTGTAATCACAGCACTTTGGGAGGCAGAGGCTGGTGGATCACCTGAGGTCAGGAGTTCGAGACCAGCCTGGCCAATATGGTGAAACCCTGTCTCTACTAAAAATACAAGAATTAGCTGGGCTTGGTAGCACACGCCTGTAATCCCAGCTACTCGGGGAGGTTGAGGCAGGAGAATCACTTGACCCTGGGAAGCGGAGGTTGCAGTGAGCCAAGATCGTGCCACTGTACTCTAGCCTGGGTGACAGAGCAAGACTCCATCTCAAAAAAAAACAACAAAAAAAAGAAATACCTTGCATCTCTTGATCAAGACCTTACCTGTCTTCATTGGTATCACAGACATCCCCCACCAAGTCGCTGTCTACATCTGTCTGAGAGAGAGGGACCTGTTCTCACCATCTCCTCTTTATAACTCTGAAGAGGGTGATCTGACCACTTCCCATCCAAAGGGCTGGGGCTTCATCCATCAGTACTCTCATCCCTCCCGTCCTTACCATCCCCCTGTACCTGGGTAGGATTGCTCATTTCAGGACAGCTGTCGCAAGCATCTCCCACCCCGTCCTCATCCCTGTCTGTCTGTAGTGGGTTGGGGACTTTAGGGCAATTGTCCAATCCATTGGGGATGCCTAGAAGACATGGGTGGCACAAGGTTGTTACTAGAACACGCCATACTCTCTCTCCTAGGTTGGTGAAAGTCCTGAACTTTGTCTCCCCACCTAGAGGACAACTGGTCAGGAAATCTGCCTGTTTCTTGTCTTACCTTCTAGTCCACACTCTGCCCAACGCTACGCCCTGCCTCACATTCCCATTGACATTTGCTGCAGGTAGTCTCTCCTCACCCAGGCCAGCGTCCACAAGCCTGCCTCCCCAGTTCACAGAGATGTCCTAGCTTCCCTTCATCCCTACCTGATACAAATTCTTACAGGTCCCCCAGCCACCCCTTCAGCCCCAGGCCTGCACCATCCCCATCCACGTCGTTGTCACAGGCATCTCCTTCCCCATTGCCATCTGTGTCCTTCTGGTCATTGTTGGGAACGTTGGGGCAATTGTCACAGGCATCACCAAATGAATCTGTATCTGAGTTCTGTTGGTCTTTGTTGGGGAACAGCCGGCAGTTGTCCTGGGCAGAGGGGGTGGGAGGGGAAGGGTCAAGTCTCCCCTAAATCACTTGTCATCTTGCACTTACTTTGTCACTGTATCCTTTTCTAAGATCACACCCTTGTGATGGACAAACTGCTCAGCACAGTCCCACCCACCCAGCCTCCTTGTCCTGGGCACGAGGTTTTTGCCTCTCTGATTTGGAGTATTGAGCCCTTCCTAGAGAGCTGCCAAATGAGGTAAGAGAGGCACTGAGAGGACAGGAGGAGAAGAGAGGAGCTCCAAGGGGCAGGGCAATCTGGGAGTCACCTCAACATTCTTGATCCCATCCCCATCAGCATCGTCATCACACTGGTCCCCCACACCATCATTATCAGCATCTTCCTGCCCAGAGTTGGGTGTCAAAAGGCAGTTGTCCTAAAGTTCAGGGGAAGAGAATGGATGAGTTCTGGCCTGACCCAGCCTGGGCTCCCCACTATGCCCCCTCACCCGCCTGCTCCCTGCACCTGTTTGCAGTGTTTGTTGTTGTCCATGCAGGGCAGTGCTTGGTCTGGATAGCCATCGATGTCTGTGTCAGTCCCACATACGTTCCCATTCCCAGCCCAGCCCACGTTACACTAGGGCAACACAAAGGGTAGGAGCTAGCAGTTTGGTCTGGCTCCCCTCCTCCCTCTATTTTCCCTGCTTCAGGTTCTATTCTCCCCACCAACCAGTTCCTGGGCTCAGGCCCACCTCTCTCCTGTGAAGGCCTGCAACCCAGGCCCTAAACATAGCCGTACCCCTTTCCCCAGACTCTCCCTTTTCCTTCCATGCCTGAAGCCTAGCTTACCTGGCAGGATACTGCACCATTGCGTTCAAAGAGACAATGAGCATGGACGTGGCAGGGACTGTGGGCTGGGCTGTGGCAGGTCCGGGCTGGGAGGCAGCCCTGGCTCTGGTTGCCCAGGAAACCCAGGCGGCAGGGACCACACTTGAAAGAGCCCTAAGAGTGGAGAGGCAGCATCTTAGGAACGAGGGTGAGCCCACCAGGCACCCAGGACCAGCACTGCCCCACCTGCGGGGTGTGGGCTGGGCACTCGGCTATGCCAGGCATATCAGTATCTCCTTTAGGTTCTCATGACAGCCTTTCAGGGTGGATAATAGCCTTGGTTTTCAGATGAGGAAGCTGAGGCTCAGAAAAGTTAAATAACCTGCCAAAGAGCTAGCAAGAGGCAAATCAGTATTCCAAACCAAGTCCATGTGAACACCTAATCTGTGTAGTGTCCTGGGGAGGAGGAAAGGCAGCAGGACATTTGAAGGTAAGAAGGGGAAAGGGTTGGGGTTTTACCATTCCCACCACCCCAGAATACACTCAGGGTATTCAGCTCACCACAGTGTTGGTGCAGATGGAGTTTGGGTCACAGCCACCATTGTTGCCATCGTTGCATTCATCGATGTCATTGCAGACCTGAAGGGGCAGACTTTGGGTGGAACCAGACCTATGGTGGGTCTCCTCAGATACAGCAGAGGACACTGGTATGGCCTTATCTGTGAACATCAACATTAAGCCCAGACCCAAAGCCGATGCAAAGCCATCCATGTCCCATTCATCACAAGGGTCCCATGTCTAACCCAGAAGCCCCTGGCCTCTACAAGGCCAAGATCCCTTGTCCACACACACTACCCAGTCTGACCTGTTTGCTGGCCCGGGCATAGTCAATGCCCACACCAGACACCTGTGTGCCCTTGTACCCTCGAGGACAGGCCTCACAGTGGAAGCCGGGCATGGTGTTGATGCAGCTGGAGCCCGGGAAACAGGGGTCGGCGTGAACACACTGGGGAACAAATGAGAAGGCAGAGGTCAGGCCACCCTCTGGGAAACTCAGGCCCCTGCCTGTGATCCATGAACCATTGCTCCAGGTCTCCCCTTTGTGCAGCTCTCCCCCCCACACAACCGCCTTGTGCTCCTGGTCCCCACCCCGCTTCCCTCGGGGTTCCCTCTCTCCCTCCCCATGTGCCTGGTCGCCATCTCAAGCCTCCCCTGCAGTTTCCCCAGCTCCTTCCCTGTGTGGCCTTCAGTCTTTGCCCTAGGCCTTCTGTCTCTCCCATCTTGCATTTCTCTTCTTGCCTCTGACCTCTCCTAAACTCCAAATTCCTCTCCTCTGGACCAGCATTTATCCCACCCTCTTGGGCTCCTCCTGACATCCTCACCCCAGTTTTCTGTACCCTTCTGGGCTCTGCCCTCCCCCACCTCATTGATGTCACTGCAGTGGGTGCCGTTGCCCTGTAGGCCGGGGGGACAGGGCCCACAGCGGTAGCCTGGGTACTCGTACACTTCCATGCAGTCCACGCCTCGGAAGCAGGGATTGGGGCTGCAGTGGGAACGCTGCTCATGGAAGCCTGAGGGGTGGACATAGTCAGAGCTACCCGGTGGTCACTATTTAAGCCACGAGAAGGGAAAGCCAAAGCCATTGGGTGGGGAACGTGGCACTATCATCTGGAGCCTCCCCTGCTCTCCCACTCACCGCACACCTGACACTCCATAATGGTGTTTCGGATCAGGGACATTTCCTTCACCTGGAGAAGGATGGGAAGGAGTCAGCACTTGACATCTGCCACCCCACCCCAGAATCAGTGCCACCCTTCACCGGCCCACCCAAACCTGGTCTCGTATATCATCCCGCAGCTCCACCAGGATCTGGTTGAAGAGGGTGAGTTGGGTGACCAGCGCCTTGGTCTGCTCCCCTGTCAGGACCCAGGGTGTGAGGGGCTCAGTACTGGAGCACCAGTCCTGGGCCCTCCATGGGCAATAAGCCGGCACATGCCACGGCTGCCCACCTCTGCCTTTAAACCTACTACATTCCTGACTGAAGAGGACTTAGTTTCAGGCAGCTGCCAGAGCCTGGGGCCTCCTCCCCCATCCCTGCTTCCGCTTCAGTGTGGCCTACTCACCTAGAATGGAGTGCAGTGCATTGGTCACTGGAGAGGAGAAGAAAACATAGTCAGAGGGGTGAGGTGAAGTGAAGAGAGGCCTGGCTGGTGAGGAGGAAGAAGGAAGGTGAGGACAGGGACAGGGCTGGAGCCCCAGAATAAAGATGGGGTGCTGGATACTGGGAGGGTAGAGCTGGCAGACAAGCAGTGCCAGCTCCTTCCACAGGGCAAAAGGCCCTCTAAGGGAGTTGCTTCACAGGAAGTCAAAACCCAAATCCTCCTGGTTCCTAGGCATGGTAGCGGCAGAAGGGATGGGCCCAAAGCAGGGCCAGGGCCCCAGTACACCCATTCCCTTTTTCTTTTTTTTTTTTTTTTTTTTTTTTTTTGAGACGGAGTCTCGCTCTGTCGCCCAGGCTGGAGTGCAGTGGCCGGATCTCGGCTCACTGCAAGCTCCGCCTCCCGGATTCCCGCCATTCTCCTGCCTCAGCCTCCCGAGTAGCTGGGACTATAGGTGCTCGCCACCTCGCCTGGCTAGTTTTTTGTATTTTTTAGTAGAGACGGGGTTTCACCGTGTTAGCCAGGATGGTCTCGATCTCCTTACCTCATGATCCGCCCGTCTCGGCCTCCCAAAGTGCTGGGATTACAGGCTTGAGTCAGCGCGCCCGGCCTTTTTTTTTTTTTCGTTTTTTTGAGACAGAGTCTTGCTCTGTTGCCCAGGCTAGAATGCAGTGGCACGATCTCAGCTCACCACAACTTCCACCTCCCGGGTTCAAGCGACTCTCCTGCCTCCACCTCCCAAGTAACTGGACTACAGGTACCCACTACCATGCCCAGCTAATTTTTTGTATTTCTTAGTAGAGATGAGGTTTCACCATGTTGGCCAGGCTGGTCTTGAACTCCTGACCTTGAGTGATCAGCCCACCTCGGCCCCCCAAAGTGCTGGGATTACAGGTGTGAGCCACCACACCCAGCCATCCCATTCCCTTCTTCAAGAGCTCTCCCTCAAGTATCTGGGGAGGTTTTATTTAGGTGAGAGCTTCTGAACATCCCTGTCAGAGAGAGCAGGCAGATGGGCAATACTCAGAGAAATTGCTAGTGACAGCTGCCAGTGGGAACTATAAAAGACTCAAGACCAGGTCGTGCACGGTGGCTCACGCCTATAATCCCGGCACTTTGAGAGGCCAAGGTAGGTGGATCACTTGAGATTAGGTGATCGAGACCAGCCTAGCCAATGTGGTGAAACCCCATCTCTACTAAAAATACAAAAATTAGCCGGGTATGGTGGTGGGCGCCTGTAATCCCAGCTACCTGGGAGGCTGAGGCAGGAGAATCACTTGAACGCAGGAGGTGGAGATTGCAATGACCCAGATTGCACCACTGCACTCCAGCCTGGGCAACAGAACAAGACTCCATCTCCAAAAAAAAAAAAAAAAAAATACTGGAGACCAGTATCTCTTGGTCAGCCAAGACCAAGCAATTAACTAATTCCTCTCTTGGATCGCTTTTTTTTCTGGGATGGCTGTATTGGAGATTGTGGAGTCAGGTAAAAGATTTGGAATAACAGGGTTAGAAACCCTAGGAATGGGTGAGCCAAAGGAATGGGTTTTAATGGACAGAGAGGTCAAGAAGACAGGAGTCACCAAAGGCCACAGGACCCATGGTCCAATGTCAGCAAACAAGTCTCTGTGTTACCTGCACTGTGGATGGACTCGTCCCCTTGGAATGGACACTCACTCAGGGCTCCTACCCGGGCCATGGACCCACCCAGAATAATTTTCATAGATTCCACAAAGCCCTGGGGGGATAGCAGCAGAGTAAGGTGGGAAGGTCTACCAACCCCTTCCCCAACTGGTGCAAATTCTATTTCCACAGAACTCAGAGGCTCCTCCCGGCTCACCTGCATCCTCAAATATGCCTTCTGTCCAGTCCTAATCTCCAGCCCATCGACCTCTGCTGGAGGAATGGGGGCCAGTGCTGGAAGGCCTGCATGTTGGTCACCCAGTTTGCAGTCCACATAGAGATGCAGAGCAGGGCTGGGTCTGGAGGGACCTCGGAGTCGCAGGAGAACTGTGTGTGTGCGACCATCGGCCAGGCCTGCTTGCTGTAGGTTCACGGCGTGGACTTTGCCATCCTCCCGCTGGTATCGCACCAGTACTGCCCAGGAGGGGAGATCAGTATGGGTGCTATCCCCTTCCCCCTGCCTCCCAGCTGAGCCTTGGATCAACTCTGCTGGATACCACATCTCTAGGGCCCCCATCCCTAATTCTACTATGTAGCTGTTAACACTTTGTATGTAATAGGTACACAATAAATGTTTTTGAAATTGGTTTAGGCCGGGCGCGGCGACTCAAGCCTGTAATCCCAGCACTTTGGGAGGCCGAGACGGGCGGATCACGAGGTCAGGAGATCGAGACCATCCTGGCTAACACGGTGAAACCCCGTCTCTACATTAAAAATACAAAAAAACTAGCCGGGCGAGGTGGCGGCGCCTGTAGTCCCAGCTACTCGGGAGGCTGAGGCAGGAGAATGGCGTGAACCCGGGAGGCGGAGCTTGCAGTGAGCTGAGATCCGGCCACTGCACTCCAGCCTGGGCGGCAGAGCGAGACTCCGTCTCAAAAAAAAAAAAAAAAAAAAAAAACAAACAAAAAAAGAAATTGGTTTAGAGGCCAGGCACAGTGACTCACACCTGTAATCCCAGCACTTTAGGGGGCCAAGGTGGGCAGATCACTTGAGGTCAGGAGTTCGAGAACAACCTGGTCAACATGGTGAAACCCTATTTCTACTAAAAATACAAAAGTTTGCCAGGCGTGGTGGTGGGCACCAGTCTCAGCTACTCAGGAGGCTAAGATAGAATCGCTTGAACCCAGGAGGTGGAGGTTGCAGTGAGCTGAGATTGTACCACTGCACTCCAGCCTAGGTAACAAAGCGAGACTCCGTTGGAAAAAATAATTGGTTTAGAGACAAATACTTTCTTAGTATTCATTGGTATCAGATGACTCTATCCTCTCCTATGGTGACAGCTGGTTCTGTGGCCACTGAACTGTTCCAGGGATCTGAAAGACCTTTCTATACCACCGCTGAGGCACAGAGACATGCCTCACCTCCCTCCAAGCATCCCCAAGTACAACCTCCCATCCCTACAAATATCAGGACTCAAGCCTCACCCTATTGTTTGGTACATGGCCTCTTAAAGCACCTTGTAAGCACCCCATACCAGGCGCCCCTGATGTCTGGGCACAGCCTGATGGGACCTTGGTCCCCAGTGAAGGCCAAGGAGAATGAGGAAGCACTTGTGAAGTAGGGATGAGGGATAATGCTTAAAAGAGGTCACCATTGCAGGAAAGGAGATGCCCACCAGTCACCTTTGTTGATCTTGCCTACAACAGAGGCCTCCAGCCATCGCGTGTTGTCTTGGCGAGAATAGAGGCCAAAGAGGACACCACCCTGCTTGGGGGGCAGGCGGAAGGTGGACAAGAGGTAGATGTCCCCAGCAGTGAGCAGGGCTGTCCGGATCTTCTCTGCCACAGCTACCATCTGCCGAGACTCGCCCACAGTCAGCAGGTCAATTACTGGTCAGGCAGGGGTTATCAAGGTTAGAGAATGGGATCAAATGCTAAGGTATGCCCTCCCCTGAGCCCACATCACCCCCTGTTCCCATCACCAGGCAGTGTTAATCACCTCAAAATTCAACCCTTGGCTGGGCGCAGTGGCTCGCACCTGTAATCCCAGCACTTTGGGAGGCTGAGGCAGGTGGATCGCCTAAGGTCAGGAGTTTGAGACCAGCCTGACCAACATGGTGAAACCCCGTCTCTACTAAAAATACAAAAACAACAACAAAAACTCGCCAGGAATGGTGGCGGGCGCCTGTAATCCCAGCTACTCAGGAGGCTGGGGCAGGAGACTCGCTTGAACCTGGGAGGCGGAGGTTGCAGTGAGCCGAGATCGCGCCACTGCACTCTAGCCTGGGCAACAAGAGTGAAACTCCGTCTCAAAAAAACAAAACAAAACAAAACCTCAACTCTTGTTGCTCTCAGAAGACAGAGCCACTGTGCCTTCCTTTCCCCATTATTGCCTATTACCACCTTCTGGGAACCTGCAGGTTTGAGGCTCACTTTGAAACACAAACAGCACCCCACAAATTTGAGATGCCCCCACCAGGTGGCGCAAAGGAGATGCTGTGCTGATCCCCCTCAGGAGTGGCACCTGGTTCCCACAACGCAGAAACGGGAGGCAGTTTCTCTTTCCATTCCTGGATTTGGCTCGTTCCACACCCTAGTTCCCCTCCTTCCATCCTAGGGGCACAGCACACTCGCTCTGGATAAGAACAGTTGCCCACTGAGGGCTCTGACCCTCCCACCATCTGGGCTATCTCCCACCGGAATGTAGGACCCAGCTCCTCTGCCTCCTGTGTCCTGGCCAATCTGTGGTTTTCCCTCCAGCCAGTAAAGAATCTATGCCTGTGTCATCTGCTCCAGCTACCTCTCCCACATCCATTGGCCCATCCCACCACCAGACCTCCGGGAGAGCCCAGGCTTCTTGGTCCCCACCCCCGCCCTATCCTTGGGCAGCCAAGAGCCCAGAGGGACGAAGCCCAGGGACCTACAGTATGCCCACCTTCAGGCTGCTCTCCCAGACCCCAGGGTGCCTACAGATGCTCAGGAACCACCCCAGCCAGGCAGCCTGAGCATCCAGTTCCTGAGTCCTCTGCCCTGGCCTCATGCCTGACCCTGGCCCGTTCCAACTCCCCCACTACTCTGTGGTGCCCACTCCTGTCCACCAGGCCATAATTTCACGAACCCTAGGCAGTCTAACGTTTTCCTCTGGCTCAATTTCTAGACTCTTCCCTCTCCCTTTGCCCACATGCTCTCTGCTACTTGGGTTGAGGGAAAATGGGGAAGACACAGAGAGCGGTCTAAGAGGATGGAGACAGGCTTACCCTGCAGGTCCTGACTGGCAGATGCGAAAGAGCAAAGGAGGAGAAGAGCCAGGGCCCCCCGAAGTTCCTGCGTCTCCATGCCTTTCAGCCGGCTCACTACCCCTGGCAGGCAGGCAGCTGGGAGGGGAAAAGGCTAGGCGGAGAGAGCAGGAGCCGGGGGGCGGAGGGACAGAGTTGGAGGGGGGGCCAGCAGGCGGGTGAGGGGGGGCTGAAACAAAGAGCTGCCAATCACCCTGGAGGCATCATCAGCTCTGGGAACCAGGGGCACTGGGAAAGAATCCTGGAGGCCTCCCTGCCTTCTACCTCTCCCTAATGATCCTCCCCCAGGTGCCTCCCTCTCCGCAGTCATCACATTGTTGGGGGTCTCCGCACACAGCACTACCGAATGCTACTGTTTTCTGGAAGCCACGATTGTGGAAGGCAAGAACCTCTGGCAGGGGCAGTGCTAGACAGTGGGCATTATTCCACAGCTGGCAGGAAAGGATGCCAAGGGAGTGGCCGAAACTAGCTTGCTATAGTGCCCAGGGATGCCCACATGGCATGAAGTTAGATGTTCTGGCGCAGCAAGTGCTCTTTATTAGGGTGAGGGTTCCCTGATACGTGCCTGTTTCTCCATTTTCCCTCATTCCTAGGAAAGCTTGGGAGTCTGGAAGCGTCTGAGGGGAACTGAAGGGAGAATCTAAAGCAGTGGTGAGGTCGGAGTGAAGAAACCAGGAAAGACGAAAGGGACACCAGGGACAGGCGTAGAAGACCAGGGGGACAGGCGAGGAGCCAAGGACCAGACTGTGGAACATTGTGGGTACTAGCGGACGGGCCGTGACCCGGATGAAGCAGAGGGGCGCCGGAGTTCCCGTTACCTAAGCAACAGCCTGCGAGCCGCTCTTCCCCTCCCCCACCCAAGCCCCAGCACGGCCTTGCCTCCGGCCGCCGCCACCGCCCCTGTTTTGTTTCCATGGCGACAGGCGGCGCAGGGCCCGCTCCAAACATAACGCGCTGTGGAAAACATGCTGCTCGGGGGACCCCCCCGCAGTCCCCGCTCGGGCACGAGCCCCAAGGGGCCCCGGAGCAGTACAGGCCACGTGCAGTTTGGCAAGAGCCCTCAGACCTGGCCCAGGCGCACAAGACCCCGCTCTCCTGAGCCTGCCGCGCCTTCAGGGGCTCGGGGCTTCACTCAGCCGAGGCGCCGTGACTCGCCGAAGCGCGCCGGGCGGACAGCGCTGTCCCGCTAGCCCTGTCCCGCTAGCGCTGTCCCGCTACGTGGGCCACCTCTGGATGGGCCGGCGGCCGCCCTCCCCGGAGGCCCGCGGCCCAGTCCCCCGCAGTTCAGCTGCCAGTCGGACCAGAAGAAGCCTGGCCTCCCCGGGGACCTCCCCCGGCCCCCTGACCGCAACTACCGGAGGGGCGGTGGTGGGGGGCGGGTCCGTGCAGGGCAGGGCAGGAGCACACAAGGAAGTGTTTCCGGGACAGAGGGCGGGCAAGATGGCGGCGCCCATGGAGCTGTTCTGCTGGTCAGGGGGTTGGGGGCTGCCGTCAGTGGACCTGGACAGCCTTGCCGTGCTGGTGAGGGGTGGCGCTGGCGCACTCTGTTGTGCCCTGATGACTGGGGAGGGGGCCGAACTAGCCAGGCATCCAAACTTTGCCGGGCTACTCAGCACGGGCGCAGTGGGGGAAACTGAGGCAGTCAAAGACGTGGGCTCAATGCCCTATGCTGTAGATTTCTAGGCTTAATGCAGCAATGAAAATAAGCCTGGTTGGGAGTTCAGGTGATGGGTTCTAGTCCTTGCTTATCCACTCACTGGCTGTGTGACCTTGCAGAGATCCTTTCTCTTTGGGCGTTTTTTCTCCATTCGCAGGTTTACTAGGCAGGACTCTCTCAGGGACCCACTCTAGCTTGGAATTCCTGCCTTCTCCTCAGCCCCCTTTTCCTCTTCCTCCTCACTTAACAGCATTTACTGAGCCTATTGATTGTTGGACCAAACGACTCACAGCCAGGCTTTGTAGAAAGAGCTTAGCAATCAGACAGACTTCGTTTGCTTGATTTATTCATTGACTCCTTGCTTTAAAGAGCATCTATTAGATTTCTTCCAAATACTAAATATTGCCATGCAAAGATGAATAAAATATGTTCCCTCCCTTTGAGTTTACAGAAAGGCAGATAGGTAAGCAAATAAATATAGTAAAATATTCACGTATAAGTTAAAGTAGGAACAGATCATAGATACTGCCAAAGAGAAGGGCATGGTCAGTGCTTCCAAGAAGAGGGATACTGGTTAGGAAAAGCTTCTGAGGATAGATGTCCACCAGGTAGATGGCAAGGGAGGAGAAAGAGGAAAGGATTTTCCTGGCTGACCTGTAATCACGGACATGTCTATAATCTCTCTGAGCCCTGTGTTGCCCATTTGCAAATAGAAATGGTAGTGACTCCCCCTTTTTTTTTCAAGACTAAGATACTAAGTATAGGGAATGGCACATAAGGTATTCAATAAATGTTATTTCTCTTCTTGATACTGCTGTGGGGGCCACGGCCCTGCCTTTCTGACTTCTGCTTCCTTCCCTGCAGACCTATGCCAGATTTACTGGTGCACCACTGAAGGTACACAAGATCAGCAACCCCTGGCGGAGCCCTTCAGGTACCCAGTGTCCCTTGGGGGTAAGGAAGGGTATGTACAAGGGGAGAAGCAGGAGATAGGTAGGAATGTGTTGCAACTATGTATGAGTAGGCAGCTAAGGGTCTGGTTGGTAGGTGTACTTCTCTCTCAATATCAGGAACTCTGCCTGCCCTTCGGACCAGTCATGGAGAGGTCATCTCAGTTCCACACAAGATCATCACCCACCTTCGAAAAGAGGTAGGTAACTTGGATAGAGGGGGCTGCCAGTAAGACAAGTTCAGTCAATTCTGTACAATACACATTTATTGAGCACCAGATACATGCCATGCTAGATGGAGGTGACCCAGAGCATCAAGGAGCAACAGTCTGCTGGTGGAGACACACACAGTGTCACTGTGATGTATTCAAGCAGTCAGCAAGAGATGAAGCTCAGGGCACTGTGGGGATATCCAGAGACACAGTACATTCTGCCTGTCAGGCAGGGAGGGAGAGGAGCACAGGCTGAAGGAGAGTAGAAGACAGCAGTTGGCCTCTGATGGTGGCACTGGAGAGAGATTTCTAAGGGCCACTTCCCTGTTACCAGGGACTAGGTTGGGCTAGATATGGGGCTCAGGATGAACAAGGCTTACAGCCAGTTTGGAGAAGATGAAAGAGCATTACTAGAGGAGTGGGGAGGCCTAGGCTATGCTCTTTACTCTGCCATCGACTATGTGATCTTGGGCAGGCCACATAACCTGTCAGGGCTGGCACTCCCTTATTTGTAAAACTAGAGGGCTGGGCCAGCATGTTTTCCAAGGGTTCTTCTAGCATTGATGGTCAGGTTCCAAGAGGGAACACAGTGTCAGAAGTGGGACACTCTTCCTCATTTCTAATTTCCCAAAGGTTAAGGACCTGGGGAATTAATTGAGAAGCCTGAAAAGAGAGGATCCAGATAAAAGAAAAAGTTCCTGGCAGGGCCAGGGCCACTGCCCTGATTCCTTAGGTGTGAACAGAGCTTTTCCAGTTTCCAAAGTATTCTAAATTACTTCCTAACACAGCGGCATTGAGAGAAAGATTCTTACCCCCATTCCACACGGGAGAAACTGAGGCTCAGGGAGATTTAAGGATCATGCTCAAGAGGTTATCTGGGGACAAAGTTTACTCAGGATGTGGAGGGGGATGCTGAGGAGCAGGGACTGGAGCCTGGGAAGGTAGGGCAGGCTGAGACCTGGGGGTATGGGTGGAATGTGTATGTGGTAGTGGTGTCTGGGCCATGGAATGAAGTGGAATAAATAGCCAAGAGCTGGGCACTGAGGGAACCAGCTGGGGGGCCCTGGGCGTGGGTTCCCTGGATCCAGGGAGTGTGAGGATGGCTTTCCCTGGTTCCTGAGGCATGGACCAAGTCCCAGCCTGCATCTGAGCTCCGCTGTGCTAGCTTTGTGGTGTCTGGGTCGGGGAAGTTACCGTTAGAAAGTTGCCGTCAGCAGGCGTCCTTCCAGCTTTCCATGGAAATTCTGGGAGCTGCTCCTAGTTTGCGGCCGAGACTTCCCTCCTTCCCCGCATTGGGCGCTGGACCTTGACGGCCAGCAGGCTCCAAGGCCCAGGCTTTTTGCCAACAGCAACAGGCTACTGGCTGGGCCCAGGCAAGGGAGCCTTGCTAGGAAAAGTTCCTTGCTCTACCTCCACTACACTCAGGCCAGTGAGGGGGGTACCAGACAGGACTCCTTCCTCCCTGGTGAAGTGCCCCTGCAGCTCCTCAGTGTCCACACCATGGATATTTCCTCCACAGAAGTACAATGCTGATTATGATCTGTCAGCTCGGCAAGGGGCAGACACCCTGGCCTTCATGTCTCTCCTGGAGGAGAAGTTGCTCCCGGTGCTGGTGAGTGTGCCCAGACCCCCCAGCATCCATGGTTAGCAGGGGAGGGGTCGGGCACACATAGACCCACACAGAGACTCAGGACAGCATGGGGGTCAGAAGCCCACCCTGAATCAGACAGGTACACTGGCTCAGACCTGCCTGTTTCTTCCTGCCTACCCAATCCAGGTACATACTTTCTGGATAGACACCAAGAACTATGTGGAAGTGACCCGGAAGTGGTATGCAGAGGCTATGCCCTTTCCCCTCAACTTCTTCCTGCCTGGCCGCATGCAGCGGCAGTACATGGAACGGCTAGAGCTGCTGAGTGGGGAGCACATGCCTGAGGACGAGGAAGAGCTGGAGAAGGAGGTAGCTCTGAGACCGGGGGCTGTTGTATGAGATGAGCCCCAAGGATGCTGGCCAGGAATGGGAGTGCTTAGGTGGGGAGGTGGAACTGTTCCCGCAGCTGCAAGCCTACCTGTGTCGTCCCTACAGCTGTACCGAGAGGCTCGGGAGTGTCTGACCCTGCTCTCTCAGCGTCTGGGCTCTCAAAAGTTCTTCTTTGGAGATGCGTGAGTCTGACTCCAAGAGGATAATGGGTGGTTTGGGAGAAGATACAGGTTCAGACGGAGCAGCTGGGGCTGGGGCTGGGGTGGGGTCAGGCTCTGGACAGGAGGTCCTTGGGATAGATACTGGTCCTGCTGCCAGTGGGGCTGTGTGTGGGGCCAGAGCCTTCTCAAAGGTACAAAAGGGTAGGGTGGGAGGGCAGCCAGGCACAGGAGGGGCCTGAAGAGCTGTGGGGCACTGAATGTGCCCTTTATGCAGCCCTGGGATAGAGTCCTATTCAGGGCCAGGCTGGCGCCACCTGGGGATCTCTCCCAATACCAGGTCTAGAACTGTGTGTCCTGTCCTTCCCTGATGGCCGCCTGCTGCCCAGAGCCCACCTCCCAAGGCTGACTCTTCCTCCAGCTCCATCTTTACCCCTTCTGCCTCAGTGCTTCTCCTCCATCCCACCCTTCTCTCTCTGCTCCAGCCCTGCCTCCTTGGACGCCTTCGTCTTTAGCTACTTGGCCCTGCTGCTGCAGGCAAAGCTGCCCAGTGGGAAGCTGCAGGCCCACCTGCGGGGGCTGCACAACCTCTGTGCCTATTGTACCCACATCCTCAGTCTCTACTTCCCCTGGGATGGAGGTAAGGGGCAGATGGGAGAGGCAGCCCTGGGGAGAGTGGGCAGGGATCTGAGAACTAGTTCCCCTAACTCACCTTCCTTCCTTGACCCTCAGCTGAGGTACCACCGCCACGCCAGACACCAGCAGGCCCAGAGACTGAGGAGGAGCCATACCGGCGCCGGAACCAGATCTTATCTGTGCTGGCAGGACTGGCAGCCATGGTGGGCTACGCCTTGCTCAGCGGCATTGTCTCCATCCAGCGGGCAACCCCTGCTCGGGCCCCAGGCACCCGGGCCCTGGGCATGGCTGAGGAGGATGAAGAGGAATGATTTGTCCTCACGCTCCCAGGACTGGTTTTTCTACTCTCGTGCATTCCAGAGGCCCCCGTGCCTCCTCTTTGTTGGTACAGCCGGACACGGGGTGCTGCTCCCCAGAATAAAGCCACTCACGCTGACTGGGCTCAAACATTTTCTCCTTTAAGAGCTGCCATTTTTCCTGGCTAGTCCCACAGGAACCATCTGGCTGCCTGGGCACACCTGCTGCTGCTTTAAGGCTTCTGCCCTGATGCTGACACTGCTGCTCCATGGGCCCAGTTCTGCATCTCCAGGAAACACAGTCTCCAGTTTTGGGCCTAGCTTTCCTAGTCTCTTCTTTTCCTTACCCTCACCCCTCATCTTGTGTTTGTACGACAGTGAGCTCACTCTAGGCCTGGGCCCAGGCCCAGTTTCCAAAGCAAGCAGCACACAGTGCACGTTCACATAAGCATGGGGGCTGGGGGAACACTGGGGCTTACTGGTCTTTTTCTAGGGGCCTCCAGCCCCTGGCAATACCTAGAGGGGAAAGTGAATCACCCAAACCACTGCCCTTGGGCTTATGTCGCTGTAAGCGCACCCTGGCCCTGCTGTGCCCTCTTTAGCCACAGACAGCGTGTGAGCTGACTGTCCTTTTAATGCCCAGGCTGAGCTTGAGTATCCACTCCATCACTGCAGACACCACAGGTAGGTATGAATGGAGTAGCCAGGTGAGATCGTCTCCAGGAAGCCCACGGCAGGATCCTTGATGGTAAGAGGCACATCCTTAGAGGAGCTAGGGAGTGGGGAGGAGAAGCTAAGAGTGTGATCCTGCCAAGGCCCCCGACCCTGTCTTCAGCCCACTTCCCAGACCCCACTGTTGCCCTCACCGGTTTAGCACGACCACAACGGTAGAGCCATCGGGATGCATCAGTGCCACTGTGTCCAGGTCGTTCTTCTGACTGGCAACCAGCCCCACTCTCTGGGAGCCCTCAGGAATGAACTTGCTGAATGTGGAAACAGATGGTCAGAGTCCCTCGGGGTACCGCCCATGAAACCTTCATCTAAGAAGTCACCCACCCGCATACCCACCCCATAACTCCTGCAGAAGCTCTGCCCTGGGTCTCTAGACCTGGAGCCATGCTGCTGGGCACTGACCCTGCTTTTCTATATCGCAGTCCAGCCTCAGGCACTGGGGTTGTCTGTTGCTAGTCACTTCCTGCCTCCATGGTGCAAAAGGGGATGGGTGTGCCTCTCCCGAGGTTCCACCCTAAACACCTTCCTGCTCCTTCATGGTGTAGAGTGATGTAAGCCATCTGACGTAGGAGATGATAAGCCTGATATGGAATGGGGGTGCCTGCCCTCCATTCACCTGAAGTGACCAAGGTGGTAGAACATGGGCTGTTTGTAAAACGTGTCCTTGGTGATCTCTACAATGACGGGACTGTCGACAAAATTACGCACCCAATTGGGTCCTCCTTCGGGGTTCAGGGCGAGGTTCCAGTCAGTCCAGCTGACCACATGGTACAGCAGGTTCTAGGGTAAGGACAAAGGCAAAGAGACAAAGGCTCAACACTGGGGGTCCCCAGAGACTGTAGGTAAGGGTCACATGAAGGAGAAGTGGCTGTGGGTACCTCAGCCCTGTGGAAGATTGAGGCATCTCAAGGGGATCTGAGAAGTCTGAGGCAGGTGAAAGTGCCTTAGTAGTGGCAAAAGGGGCAATGAGGTGTGCAGACCTGTGAAGGAAAGGCAAGACAGGGAATCATGGTTCCCCAGTTGCCCAAAAGGGCAGGCTAGCTGGGCAAAGCTGGACAGGAAAGGTCTGTCAGTCTTTGGTGAGACTACTAAGGGGTCTGGGGTGTGCTTTGCAGGAAGGCAGACTGGGGTGGCTTACCGTGATGATGCTGTGGCTGTACTGCATCCCTCGATCCCAGGAGCCTAGCCGCACACTCTGCTCCCAGAACTTGGAGCCCACACAGGCCTCTGAGGCAAAGAGCATGGTGTTGGGGAACAGGCGGTGTGTCTCCCCTAGGGTGGCTTTGGCTGGAGCCAGAAAGTCCAGGTACCAATGTACAGCAATGCCATGAACATACTTAGCTGCCTCTGGGTCTGTCAGTACCTGCAAAGGAAGAGCAAGTGACCCTGGACCTTGCACACAGGCTTCTGGAACTTCTGTTTCCTCTTGTAGGAATCCTGAAGATGGGTGGTGGGCAGAATGCAACTAGAGAAGTTTTGGGAGGGATTTTTTGTTTTTATTTTTGAGACAGGGTCTCACTCTGTCACACAGGCTGGAGTACAGTGGCACAATCACAGCTCACTGCAGCCTCAAATTCTAGAATCAACTAAACCTCCCGCCTTAGCCTCCAGAATAGTTGGGACTATAGGCGTGCCACCACCATACCCAGCTAACTTTTCTATTTTATTTTTATAGGGATGGGGTTTCACCATGTTGCCCAGGCTCATCTTGAACTCCTTAGGTCCACGTGATCCCCCACCTTGGGTTCCTAAAGAGCTGGGATTATAAGCATGAGCTACCACCCCAAGCCTAGAGAGGTTTAAAGTGACAATTGTGGGATCCATGGTGCCCTGGAGGTCCAGGGGAATGGTGCTCTAGGAATCCACAGTTGGGTAGAGAAATTGCTCTAAGTTTGGGAGCCAGTCATTTGGAGGCTAGATTTGAAGGTCAGTGGAGCACCAAGGAAGTCTAGGCCTTATCACCTTTGCCCAGTGGGGCAGCAGCAAGCATTGGTCATCCAGCATGAGTAGGCGGACATTGTGGTGAGTACTGTTGGCGAGGGTAGGACCTAGGTCATGGGCAATGAAGTCTCGCTGATGTTCGGGGTGAAGCCCAGGCACTGGAAGGGGTATCCACTCAATAGCCCAGCAGAAGGCTCATTTTCAACTGTCACTGCCCAGAACTGTAACTTGTGCTCAGCATAGGCATCCAGGAACCTGGCAAGAGAAAGGTCATAAATGATCCGGCCAAGAAAGTGGACCAGACCGAGAGAACAGGAAGCCTGATGGAGTGGCCAAGACTGACAGGTCCAAGTCTGAAAGGCCCAGAAGGTAGAAAGGTGAGCTGAGGAGAGGCAGATCTGGAAGTGGAACGAGGTTGAGGGTTGGGACATAGATCAACGTGGCCAAAGGGGAGGCCAGTCCTGATCCCACAGCCTTGCTGATACCTTACTTCACAAAGTATCTGGCCCAGGTCTGGTGGTAGATGTCTCCGGGCTGTCCCTTGAGTGACACCTTCCCATTCCCTGCTCCGCTGATCTTGAGCCTAGTGGGTGATGTCCAGGGGTTGGCAAGGAGTGAAACGGGACGCTGGGCCAACTACAGGGCTCGGTGAATCAGGGGTATCTAAAGACAAAGGTAGTGAAGAGAGAAGCACCCAGAGTTGGAACACATACTAGCCCAACCAGTGCATCCGGTTCAGCCATCAGCCCCCACCCTCCCACCCCCGAGACAAAATAGCAGGGGAAGAAACGTCTCTACAAGCAGACCTACCCTACAGCTTCTCAACCCCCAGACATCAGGGCCATCAGGGCCTGAAAAAGCTAGAATGCCTACGTTGAGCTTGGTATCTTCCTCTGGGAGGCTGGAGTTGTGCAACTAGAAATCATCAGGGGTGTCTGCATAGGTGTAGGTGCGGATGGAGAAGTCACAGCTGGCCATGGGTTCCCGGATGATGTTATATCCAATTCCTACAGAAAAGGATGATCAAGATATGGTAGTCTGAGTCAATAGGAGAGTATGGGACTCTGCTTATCACTTGTCAGTCCTAATAGTGTCTGAGTCAGGGCCAAAGGGAACTTGGGCTCCTGGGTTGGAACCTGTGGAGGCTGGCACCTGGGTGAAATACAGGCCTTTCTGAGCCTGAGTCCATAAGCAGTTAGCAGATGATAGGCGGGGAAATCTTATTTCAGAGGGCATTAAAACGGGAACCAAATGTCAGGGATGGGCAGAAGTCAGGATCCAAAGAAAGGGCAAAGAAAAGTGTCAAAGGCACTGTCATCTTGTCCCCTTCCTCCTCATCTTCTTCAGAGAAGTACGATTTAAGTAGCAAATTTTGGGCAGGGGGTGACAGGGCAAGGATGTTGAGGGCAGCTGCATCTCCAAATCCCTTCACTTTCTGGGACTTCTGTTCTGGCTGCAGGGTCAGTAGCAGGCCCGAGGACATCCACAGGGAATAAGGGTCTCAGTTCCCAGGGGAGAAACTCCTTGATGATCACTGACACCGTTTGCCTCTAAGAGGACCCAGCCTGGCCCAGGGGGTGAAGGGTGTAATGTTTACCTGTGCCAGTGCAATTAGCCTGGATGGTCCCCTTACTCAGCTCCATCCAACGCCCACTGCTTCTGCTCTCAGCGGCTGAAGGTACCGAGGGCAGGAAAGGTCAGGGCGTCAAGAGAGTCACAGTATGTGGCATTGCAGACACAGACCACCAAGTTGTAGCTGAAGCTTTTAGGGATGCAGGGGCACCACCGGGGAGGGAGCACAAGCAGAGGTGAGGTCTGATGAGGATGTGGGGAACGGACACAGCTGCTCGGAGAGACGGAAGACGGTTTCAAAACTCCTCACCCCAAAGTTGGTCTCAGTCACTCAAAAGGATTTATTGAGCACCTATTAGAAGTCTACCACCAGAGTACTGGAAGGCTACCAAAGGACTACGAGGCAGAAGGGAGCCTCTGTGCTACCTCGCTACCGCCTTGACTCACTTACCTGATGCCCATGACACTGCCTGAAGTAGAAGCAATCCTGTGAGGCTGGCGGCCATGATGCTTACCCTACCCGAAGGCTTGGGACATTCCTGAGGACAGAATGAGGAGTGGCTGAAAAGCAAGCCCCTCTCCTCCCCTCAACTACTCTCCTGGGCAGAGTTTAGCTGCCTTTGGCTGCCCATGGCCTAGTCTCCCACATTCATTAGGACAAGGCCCACAGACACCTGGGTGCAGCTCTCCCTGCAACCTTTCTGATGACAACTCTCTGCCCACCCCAAATCAGGACGCTCCCCACCACTCTTCCCACCCATTTCAACTTCGACCCCTCCCTCCATCTGTGCCTTGCTCAAAGAGCCATGATGGCCCTGGATTCAAAGAGAGTCTGTCATTCACTGAATTCCAGTGCCAGGATTCCAGAAGCACTGTGACAATGCTGATTGGGAGCTCTCTCTTACCTTTCTGGAAAACTCCATCACCTCAGGGTCATTGGATGAGGAGAAGACCACAGGGGTTCCAGAGTCTCTGAAGGATAGAGGATCCACTAAACAAAAACAACGATGCAGGGACCTGCCATAGCTATAGGCACTAGGTTAGTCCTGCAGGTAATTCCGGCTTCCTGACATGGATGGGTCATGTGATGACTGGGAGAGTCACATGACACAGGAAGTGAGGGAATTGCAGGCATATTTCTAAAGGGCAATTGGGTTCCTCTGAGTTGTTACAGATTATACACCCTTTAAAATTCTGGAGGGTGACCGGGCGCCGTGGTTCAAGCCTGTAATCCCAACAATTTGGGAGGCCGAGACGGGCGGATCACGAGGTCAGGAGATTGAGACCATCCTGGCTAACACGGTGAAACCCTGTCTCTACTAAAAAATACAAAAAATTAACGGGGCGAGGTGGCAGGCACCTGTAGTCCCAGCTACTCGGGAGGCTGAGGCAGGAGAATGGCGTAAACCCGGGAGGCGGAGCTTGCAGTGAGCCGAGATCGCGCCACTGCACTCCAGCCTGGGTGACAGAGCAAGACTCCGTCTCCAAAAAAAAAAATCAGCCAGGTGTGGTGGTGTGCGTCTGTAATCCCAGCTACTCCGGAGGCTGAGGCAGGAGAATTGCTTGAACCCGGGAGGCGGGGTTTATAGTGAGCCAAGATCACACCACTGCACTCCAGCCTGGGTGAAAGAGCAATACTCCATCAAAAGAAAAAAAGAGAGGAAGAGAGGAAGGAGGGAAGGAGGGAAAGAAAGAAAAAAGAGAAGAGGGGAAGGGGAGGGGAGGGAAGAGGAGAAAAGAAAGAAGGCAGGCAGGCAGGAAGAAAGAAAGAAATCCAGTTGAGATCGTTAAATTTGTTGTAATTTTGTTTTTGACACAATAAACATTAGTCCTTATTAAAACTAACTTTATGGGCGGGCATGGTGGCTCAAGCCTGTAATCCCAGCACTTTGGGAGGCCGAGATGGGCGGATCATGAGGTCAGGAGATCGAGACCATCCTGGCTAACACGGTGAAACCCCATCTCTACTAAAAAATACAAAAAAAAAGAGCCATCGAGGTGGCACGCGCCTGTAGTCCCAGCTACTCGGGAGGTTGAGGCAGGAGAATGGCCTAAACCTGGGAGGCAGAGCTTGCAGTGAGCTGAGATCCAGCCACTGCACTCCAGCCTGGGCGACAGAGGGGGCTCCATCTCAAAAAAAAAAAAACAAAGAAAACTAAGTTTATTTAGAAAATAAAATAGAGCCGGGCGCGGTGGCTCACGCCTGTAATCCCAGCACTTTGGGAGGCCGAGGCGGGCGGATCACGAGGTCAGGAGATTGAGACCATCCTGGCTAACACAGTGAAACCCCGTCTCTACTAAAAATACAAAAAATTAGCCGGGCGTGGTGGTGGGCGCCTGTAGTCCCAGCTACTCGGAGGCTGAGGCAGGAGAATGGCGTGAACCCGGGAGGCGGAGCTTGCAGTGAGCCGAGATCAGGCCACTGCACTCCAGCCTCGGCGACAAAACAAGACTCCGTCTTAAAAAAAAAAAAAAAAAAAAAAGACAACAACAACAACAAAAAAGACACAGTCTTTGGCCGGGCGCAGTGACTCACGTCTGTAATCCCAGCACTTTGGGAGGCCGAGGCGGGCGGATCACGGGGTCAGGAGATCGAGACCATGGTGAAATCCCGTCTCTACTAAAAATACAAAAAATTAGCCGGGCGCGGTGGCGGGTGCCTGTAGTCCCAGTTGCTGGAGAGGCTGAGGCAGGAGAATGGCGTGAACCCGGGAGGCGGAGGTTGCAGTGAGTGGAGACCGTGCCACTGCACTCCAGCCTGGGCGACAGAGCGAGACTCCGTCTCAAAAAAAAAAATAAATAAATAAAATAAATAAATAAATAAATAAATAAATAAACAAAAGACACAGTCTTTGCCCTGTAGAGGCGTATGAGGTATGGAAATCAGGCACGTAGTTATTTACAGGTAAAAACAGAAAAGGTAACAGGTGTGCATGGAGAGCTCTCTGAGATGAGAAGGGACCATCCCTGGGTGGGGAATTATCCAGGATGGCTTCACATAGGAAAAAGTGAGGGGAGTTATTAGCCAGTGAAGTGTAGGGCGCAAGGAGAGTGGGACACCGACAGTGGGATGGCAGGACAGGAGGGAGGAAGTGGTCAGCATGGCTCCTCTGCAGCATCCCTCATTTAATCACTAAGGGCCTGGGAGAGTCACATGACACAGGCAGTGAGGCAATTGCAGCCATCTCTCTAAAGGGCAACTGGCTTCTAGATGTAGATTGTAATAACCGTTCTTCCTTCCTCACAGGACAGGGAGGTTTGTAAAGTAATTCAGAAACCAGGAAGTGTTGTAAAAAGCCATATGCTCAGTGGACGTGAGAAGGAAGTTGTCCATGTCATTTGCCTCATGAACCACATCGAATGAGATTTAGTGGGAATGGCACACACAGTCATAACCAGACTAACCCCACCTCTCACCCTATTTCCTCGCGTAGAAAATGGAGGCAATGCCACAACCTCAAAGGGGTCAGTGAGGTAAACACAGTGCCTGGCAACTTGGTAGGTGCCTGGGAATTATTTGTCTGTTGTTTGTATCTTTTTTTGTACAGTCTTAGTGAGACAGAAAGGTTGGAATCCTGGCTACACGATTTACTGGCTGTTTGACCTTCAATAAATCAAGCACTCTAAGCCTCTGTTTCATCTATAAAAGGGGAGTGATAATTCCTACCTCAGGAATTGTTGTGAGGTTTGAGTGTGATAATGTGTCTCTAGTGCACTGCTTGACACTAAACATTGCAATATGTTAGGCCTGTGTTCCTGGAGTTCCTTGAAGGAATGTCTTACTCATTCTAAATATCCTTGTAGACAGCCTGGCACAGGTGTGGCTGTCAAGTTGTAGAACTGAACTAGTTGCTTCACTATGTCAGTATCCACCCCTTCCAGACTTCCTGCTTTTCTTTTTTTTTTTTTTTTTTTGAGATGAAGTCTCACTCTGTTACCCAGTCTGGAGTGCAGTGGCCGATCTCAGCTCACTGCAACCTCTGCCTCCTGGGTTCAAGCAATTCTCCTGCCTCAGCCTTCCAAGTAGTTGGGACTACAGGCACGCACCACCATGCCTGGCTAATTTTTGTATTTTTAGTTGAGACGAGGCTTCACCATGTTAGCCAGGCTGGTCTCAACCTCCTGACCTCAGGTGATTCACACGCCTTGGCCTCCCAAAGGGCTGGATTTACAGGCATGAGCCACAGCGCCCAGCCTGACTTCTGCTTTTCAAGGAAACATTGCACAGGATTTGTTCTGGGTAGGGCAGGTAATTATCTAGTACCTTACTTCCCTCAAATTCATTCATCTCACAGATATTTCCTGAGCACATTCCACATTTGCCTTTCCTGCTTTAGTGAGTTTAGAAGTTAAACCGTCTCCTTCCTCTTTCCCTCTGTGTACAGTGAGTAAGCCTCTTCTGTTTTGGCCAGGTACTGAGCAACCTTTTTTTTTTTTTTGAGACGGAGTCTTGCTCTGTTGCCCAGGCTGGAGTGCAGTGGCAGGATCTCAGCTCACTGCAAGCTCTGCCTCCTGGGTTCACGCCATTCTCCTGCCTCAGCCTCCTGAGTAGCTGGGACTACAGACGTCTGCCACCACGCCCGGCTAATTTTTTGTATTTTTAGTAGAGACGGGGTTTCACCGTGTTAGCCAGTATGGTCTCGATATCCTGACTTCGTGATCTGCCCGCCTCGGCCTCCCAAAGTGCTGGGATTACAGGCATGAGCCACCACACCCAGTGGCTTAATTTTTGTATTTTTAGTAGGGATGGGGTTTCACCATGTTGGTCACGCTAGTCTTGAACTCCTGAGCTCATGATCTGCCTACCTTTGTCTCCCAAGTGCTGGGATTACAGGTGTGAGCCACCGCGCCCGACCAATTTTTTTTTTTTGAGACAGGGTCTCTATATGTTGCCCTGGCTGGGGTGCAGTGGCTTGATTTCGGCTCAGTGCAACCTCTGCCTCTTGGGCTCAAGCAGTCCTCCCACTTCAGCCTCCAGAGTAACTGGGACTACAGGCGCACACCACCACACCTGGCTAATTCCTGTTTTTTGTTTTTTTTTTGAAACAGAGTCTTGCTCTGTTGCCCAGGCTGCAGTGCAGTGGCGGGATCTCAGCTCACTGCAAGCTCCGCCTCCTGGGTTCACACCATTCTCCTGCCTCAGCCACCTAAGTAGCTAGGACTACAGGCGTCTGCCACCACGCCTGGCTAATTTTTAGTATCTTTAGTAGAGATGGGGTTTCACCGTGTTAGCCAGGATGGTCTCCATCTCCTGACCTCGTGATCTGCAGGCCTTGGCCTCCCAAAGTGTTGGGATTACAGGCGTGAGCCACCGCGCCCAGCCTAGTGTCTGTATTTTTTGTAGAGACAGGGTCTTGCTGTGTTGCGCAGATTGGTCTCAAACTCCTAAACTCAAAGGATCTCCTGCCTCGACTTTGCAAAGTGCGGGGATTACAGGCACAAGGCACCGTGCCCACCCCTCTTTTCCTTCTTTTTATACTTCATTTTGTAAAATTTTTCCAGGGTGGCTAGGCACAGTAGCTCATGCCTATAATCCCAGCACTTTGGGAGGCTGAGGCAGTGAATAACTTGAGGACAGGTGTTAATGGCCAACATGGCGAAATCCCATCTGAAATGAAAATACAAAAATTAGCTGAGAGTGGTGGTGCGCACCTGTAATCCCAGCTACTCGGGAAGCTGAGGTACGAGAATCACTTGAACCCAGGAGTCGGAGGTTGCAGTGACCTGAGATTGTGCCATTGCACTCCAGCCTGGGAGACAGAGTAACAGTCTGTTTCAAAAAAAAAAAAAAAAAAATTCCAGAGTGAATATTATTTCACATTTCATATTTCCTGTACAATGTGATTTGTCCTTGAGGATATTCTATTTTCTTTTCTTTTCTTTTTTTTTTTTTTTTTTGAGACGGAGTCTCGCTCTGTCGCCCAAGCTGGAGTGCAGTGGTGTGATCCTGGCTCACTGCAAGCTCCGCCTCCTGGGTTCACGCCATTCTCCTGCCTCAGCCTCCCGAGTAGCTGGAACTACAGGCGCCCGCCACCGCGCCCGGCTCATTTTTTGTATTTTTAGTAGAGACGGGGTTTCACCATG